TGTTTCCATCAAACCCTCGTCCCGGGTATGGCTTCACCATGTAACGTTAACGGTGTAAGAGGGAAAGCATCATCTGCCACTATAGTCATAGACGGAGTATTGTCATTACCAAGACTTTTCCCATGTGGTATGTTTACGGTGTTTCCTTCCATATGCATGCTCAGAGAAGTTTCGATAAACACCCCCATCACCAGCTCTACCATTACTTCCAACATCGATGTAAATCTACCTATAATTTGCGTCGACTAATCCAAGCAAAACTAAAATAACCTTTATAATTATAAAACAATGATCCGGAATTTCTTGGAGGTCTCATTCTAACATGCTTCCCATCAAGTGCACCGATGCAATTTGGGAAATTCCATTTCGATTCAAATTCGTTTGCAATCTTCTCCCATTCCTCGTTGGTCTTAGGAATCTGAATTTTTTTCTAATTTAAGGATCAGTCACAAGAATTGGAAACAATTTATGTAGATACAGCGCCTGAGGTGCAAACAGTTTATACGAATGATGAGGATACTCAGGATGATTATGAAGAGGAGACTGAGGAATCACAGTCATCGTTGATGGAAGCTCCGTCACCAACCCTATCCACCGCATCTGGGTTATCGACAGCATCCCGCCCATGTTCGACCCCAACAATGAAGAACACATCCAAGAGCGCAACACGCAAACGTTCAGGCCTAATACCACCAAAAGCCAATGTGGGTATGTTAAACACAGCCACATCAAGATTAGCAGAAACGCGTACAACTGGGCAGATGCATGTAATCACAAGCTAATAATACCTATGTTACATTACCTCGTGATGTCAACAACACGGCACAGCCCAGCAGCAATCTGACCCAGCCTAGCACAGCCCCATCTTTCAATTGCATACATCTTCTACGAGTATAAAGACGTTCGTTTCATTATCGCTTCTTAATATCAGAACCAACTATCATGCCTAGTCCAAGCAAAAAAAGAAAGACGAACTATAGCGATGACGAGATAAGCATGATAATTGAAGAAATAGGAGAGCACAAATATGTACTATTTGCACCCTTTTCCATGGAAATTACTCTCACAAAGAAGAGAAAAGCATGGGAAGCGGTGCCGGCAGCAGTGAATGCCGTGTCAACAGCAAGGTGTAGCGTCATTGAGGTAACCCAGCCGGCCAATTCGACACGTGCCGTATCCAACACGCGTTGGAAACGATGGAAAAACACGCGTTTTATCGTAGAGTTCTAAACACGTATTTTCAACGTGCCGTTCTTCAAATAATCGCGACGTATACACAAGCAGTTCAAGACACGCGTATTAATCTTCTAAATTATGCATGTCCTAATAAGACAACGAGAGTACACATGTAGCAATAAACATGATTAATCCTTTACTGACTAAACACAAAAAAATTATTAAAAAATCATTACCCAGCAAATACAGACCAAAATCTCAACGAATTGTTTAATTAATTCCGTCATGATGTGAATGATCGCAAGTCGACGTTTATAAAACGCGAAACAATCGATCGGTAAGCCTATTCGGCGTTTTACGGAATCATATTGCATATATGTTTATATTTGTTTCTATGGACTTATATAATAAAAAGTGTTAAAATATAATATATTAACTGATATAAGATCCGAAAGGTGGCGCGGCCATTGCGTACTACTGGTTAGTACTGGATGGTACTGGAATCTTCATGCTCTGATCTGATGTCGCCATCTTCTCTCTGCTTTTTTCTGCTGCTGCTGCTTATTTCGAGGTAGGTGCATGGTCTCTCGCCTTATAGGCCTAATTATGTAACGTTGCTGCATCATTTAATCGAAGGACTGATCAGTGATGTGGTAATCTAAAATCTTAATAAGAAATATTCACATCGCAGGCCGAGAACTGAAATCATGGTGTCAGCTTTCCCACGCGGCGCAGGTATTTTTTTCCTAAGGTCAATCAAGACATAGGCCTAGCGAGCGCTGCAAATTGTTGATACAAATCAGCGTGCCTCAAACTCCTGTTTTATGTGCATTTCACATCATTGTGACCCTAGCCTAACCCTAACCCTAATCCTAACGCCTACATCCTAACCCTAACTCCTAACCCTAAACCCTAATTCTAACCGCTAACAGCTATACTCTAACCCTAACCAAATACTATTTAAAAATATATATAAAAAAAATTTTTTAATTTTTAATGTGTAAAAATTATGTTGTAATTAAAATGTTGTAATTAAATCATGTAAATAATTTGCGTTAATGGAAAAGAATGTTCAACGAATAAAGTAGGAAAATACAAAAACAGGAAAATAATTAGAAAACTGATGGTTCGATCCCCGTCCTTTCATAACTTGACGCTGCCGAGCTCTAACGAACTACACTATGAATCATATATAAACTTCAGAATTTGAATGTGCTATGTATATGGCAATACGTGACGTCATTGAGTGACGAAACAAGCTCAACAATAGCAGCGGCTCATCTACAGCCCTATGTTTTCTTGATTGACCTAGGAAAAAAAGTCACGCCCCCCGGGCGTAGCATGGCAGAAGATCGGTCTATGGCGTAGATCATACTAAATCTCAAAGTTCAAAATCTTCCACAGAAAGATTCCACCAGTCATACTCGTGCTTAGACATGCCGCGCGTTGAGTTGGTTCTTAGATCCCTATCCTTGCTATAATAGTTGGACACTTTGTGTAAAATTTTCTAACTTTTAGCGTGAAAAATATTTTACATTTACGCATGGGATTGTCATTGATATCTAGCCCTATAAGATTGGTCATACAGTGGATAAAAAGTCGAAAGAAATAATGAATTAGGGCTTGGGTAATTATCCTGATCCGAACTAATTATTATCCGCGATACTCCAAAGGAAATTAGCTTGCTAGCAATCCACTGCTTACTGCACTTAAATTGTCATATTTATAATTTGTCGGAGATGCTTGTATGTATATGGCTTAAAGAAAACTAGGTCACTACGTCAAAATCTCGGCAATGGCTGCCGCACGATTTGTGTAAATCTTGTGAGCTCGATATCTTGTGAAATTCACTGGCGACGGGGTGCAGGCGTTCTGCTTGTATATGCTCAATCATACAAGTAATGTATGTACATGCATTTTTCATTAGGCCTAAATCAGTAAATTGTATTTTATTTTTTAGTTGTCTGCTGAGGAATCATTTCATTTTGCTAATGTGGTATACAAGGATGACTACAAGGAAACCAGTTCAGCTATCCCGATAAACTGGATGAAAGCAGGAATCTTATATTGGCCTCCAGCATCAACAAAAAATCCGTATCTTTGTTGAGAAATGTGCAGAGCCAGATGCATCGGGATGCATATACAATTTAAAAGTAAAAGGTTTTTTCCGTAAGTACCATTACCATGTTATATACTGTCCTTTATTACATTTATTGCTATCTATTAACACATTGGATCGTCCCTTAAAACACGGTTTCACATGTTAAACATAATAAACACGTTATGGTGGAAGATGTTGATGAATAGATTGTAATTCATAATGCTTATAATTTTGTTTTCAGTGATGTATTTTAAAATTATTTTATGCATTAATTTAATAAATTTTGTTGGCTTTCAGGTACACGTAAGGAAGCTGAGAACGTGGAGGACTCGCACGGCCACTGAGCTGGAGTTGGAAGATGAACCATCCTCCAAGCGACGCAAAATTAAACCACCATCAGATCCACAATATGAATACAATTTTGACGGTATCTTTTTTTTTTTCAATTGTTAAATGAAAGGAGGTAACGCCATTCTGTAATGTCAAGATATGGTATTTTTCTTTCTAGCTAATGAATCCATTAAAAGGCTGGCGCATTGGCGTTTTTCTAGTTTGTTCAGAACCACTTTGATGTCATATCAGATCTCTTTCTCAAATTATAGGCCTCCTCTCCCGCTTCAACAGAGAATAGTACATAAAATGTGATTTCAGGAGGCAACCTAGCTATGTCATGTTTCTGCATTTAAACTTGTGCATTAATTAAATCCAATATCGCCATTTCAGAAAATGAAGGAAATAGTTCAGTTGAAGAAGATGACCAGGAGAATCCAAATTATCCTGAATTCCCGTCACCACCTAGAACACTACCGGTAACGAAGAAATCAAGACTATCTAATACCGGAGGCAGGTTTATTAAATAACTCATGAATTTTTTATTGTATACATATATATTGCTCCTGCTACTTTCAGAATTGACCGCATATTACAATGGTGCCTCGTGGAAAGTGACGTGTATAAAGCTTGTTCAGTATAAATAATAAGGAAGTGAATTGTTACTACAAATGTCTGTTATTGCATAAAAAAACCTCAGTATTGGCAATTCACCTCTAATACGGGATCTTGCATTCGCTCCCAGCAATGGTGTTAAAGTTATTTTCTGCTGTATGAATTGACAGTACATCGTGAATTCATTTAAACTTTGATCTCTTACTCAACATTATAGGCTCATGGCCCAATTCTCCCTCTTCAACAGAGAATAATACATAAATTGTGATTTCAGGAGGCGACCTATGCAATATTTCTGCATTTAAACTTCTGCATTAATGAATCTGATATCGATATTTCAGAAAATGGACAAAACAGTTCAGTTGAAAATGACCATGAGAATCCAAATTATCCTGAATTCCCGTCACCACCTAGAACACTACCGGTAACGAAGACATCAAGATCATCTAATATCAGCGGTGGGCTTAGTAACAAAATTAATTGAATTATGTTGGGGGATTTGGCCTAGCCCCCCCCCATCCAGCCCTGAATATCGATGTACCCTTGTCAGAGTGGGTAGTGTGAAATTTACGAAGAGGAAGTGTTGGTCCCATTCCCAAAGAAATTATTAGTCATATATTTATTGTTGGAATGTATAAGACCCTTAAAGTGGACTGAGAAGCTTCATTAAGGATGTGTGACAAAATTCGCGGCTATATAGTGTTTTAAACGAGATTGTCGTTATTATCATTTTTTTCAATTTTTAATTTTTTCAGGAATCAGAGAATCACCATGAACAGTATGGTATATAACGATAACACCAGTGCCAGTGGTAGGTATAGTAATTAAAATAAATTGCTAAAAATGAATGAATTGACAGGCAAAGTTAGCAGCAAAAAATCTAGCGAAAAAGCGAGACTAAATCTAATCTATACAACATATTCCATTGATCAGTATTTTGTCTCGTGTAGACTTGAGAATTTCTCTGGTATAGATAGGGGCTTGAAGTTTAGACAGAAAGTCCAAGCCTTGATTCTAACCCTAACCATATGACATCATTTGGACTCCAGCATGAACTCTTATAACACTCCATTTCCTTTTCAGAAAACAGCAGTAGGCCTACGTGTCAACCTTCTTTTGTTTGTTCAACTCCTGTGGGAAAAAGTAAGTATATCGAATGGACTCGGTCCCTGGACCCCTAGTTGTGGTCTGGCCTGGGCATTCGTCACCTTTCCTAAATAAAAGGAACAGTTACTGATCAAATTAATCAGTTTTGGGGGGGTCAGATTTGTAGACTATATTCCAAAAACGATGTTTCAATGGTTGTAGAGATAATTTAATCATTATTCCTTAATTCCTGTATCTTAGCTGACAGACTTCTAGTTAAAGTGTAGTGTCTGCCTAGAGGTTATTAATTAAGATTGCTCCCTTTTAGCTGTACTGGAAGAACGCAACAAGGGTGGACGACCAAAAAAAGTAGAAAACTTGCAGTATGCAACAACACACGCAACACACACACACACACAGCACGCACGCACGCACGCACTTATGCAGGACAACATTTGCTGGATGTGCTTACAAAGTCTGCTTATACGACAAGTATTAACCATTACAGAGTATAGCATAGTTTATATCGATAACACAAGAGTCTTCTGCCTGTTTGTATGTCAGACTTCTGATGGAGTCCATGCAATTTATTATATTTTAGCTGGAATATCTGGTGGCCATTGGTGAGGACACAGAAACCGGAAGGATGATGACAAGGGCCTTGATTTCCGAAATCATGGTGCCAGAAGTACAACTGAAGGTCAATTTGATGTACGGTAATCGTGTGCCTGGCCAAGAATACCGTGATCGGCTATCACTGAAAGACGACCTCCCGAACCTACATGAAAGGTTGTTAAGTAAGTATTGTCAAATTTAGTTTTGCTCCGTTTTTAAATCCACTTGGGATGTCATCCATTTATGAGAAACAGAGTGGTTAGAACCCTGGGCTTTGGATCACGATCTCCAGTGTTCGAGCCCCAGTCGCAAATTCGCATGGAAATGTAGTACATAATCCCAGGCATTGGATTTTTGTTAATTTTAACTGCTGGATACTTGCATTCTATAAATATTAACTTACCTTGATTACAACGTACGTAATTGTATCATTTTAATAAGGGTGTAATGTCTTGGGCTTCTTCTTGTCCATTATTCCTTGTCGGCATGTAGGGCAGCAACAAATTAACGAACTCCATCCCTGTCTGTCATTAGCCAGCCTGTCAATAGTGCCCCAGCTATGTTTAAGGGTCTTCATCTCTGCCTCCACAGTTTCCCACCATGTATTTTTGGGCCTGCCGCGCCTGCGCCGGCCTTCAGGTGTCCAGTGAAGGGCTGTCTTGCGGATAGTCATTCTCCCTTCTGACGACATGACCGAGCCACCTCCAGTGTCTTTGAATGATGATGGTGCTCATGCTCTCCTGGCCAGACTGCGCAAGCAGGTCGTTAGATCTGGTCCGGGGTCAGAAGATGCGAATGATTATCCGCAGGCTTTTGGTGTAAAAGATAGACAGATTTGCCATGCCATGCCATGCCATGCCATATGGACAGCTTTGCCAGGGTGTAATATAGCGTATAATAATTGTAATACATGTAAACATCTTTCTTCTTATTTCAGAAGCTGTAAAACGAGTTCATCCAAATCAAGTGGATAAAGTAATTAATCACGATCTTTCGGACTACTTGCGCTCAGCAGCGAAGCGGGTTAAATGATGTTGGGCTGATTGCTCATTGTGCAGAGAGATATGAGAACTCACTATTAAAGCCTCACAATGCGCATCCAAACGCTGAAATTTCTCTAGTACTAGACTAGCAACTACTTTGTGGCATGCATAATCACACTACCTTTCATGACAAAAAAAACTCTATTCCTCCCATTTGACTGCACGTTCCAACAAGAAAGAGGTGCGAAATCAGGTAATCAGGCGCCAACGCTAACTTGTTTCAAACAACATCACATCGACTTGGTTTGGTGACGTCACATGTTTCTATCTTTGCTGCGCCCTACCGCTGTACCGCGCCACCGCTGCCACGTTGCTTGAGATTGGGGAAACTGTCAACAACATCGGAGAATTTCAACAACATGGAGGTATTTTCAAAATACCTTTTATAAGACAACGCGCAGTGAAATTGGAGGAGCTAGAGTTGTATGTTTGCTCATTTAGGTAGTGTGATTATTCATGCCACGAAGTATTTGCTAGTCTAGTACTGTAGAAATTGGCGTTTGGATGCACATTGTGAGCCTTTAAACTAGTACTACATGTATAATTAGCCATTGAATTACTACTTGGTTTAAACTTTGACAATAGAAGATTTGCATAATTTGAATAATTTAATCATTGTGACATGGATCATGACAATCATTTGTAAATTGTTTATAATGTATGTTTTTTGAATTAATGACTGAATATTTGGTAATAAAATGTAAAAAATGTTAATAAGATTGTGTATTATAACATTTTGTTTTTTGTTGTGGTGCCGGATTCTCATTCAAAACACGAGTTTTAAACTTCTGAAAACCTGCCTTTAAAACCCATGAAAAGTTCAGCTATGAAACCTAGTATAATTGCATGTTAAGAACTAAAATGGACGCGGGTTTGGAACCATGTTCAGACACGACTTAGAAACTACAGGAAAATCTGCGTTATATACTAAATAAAACGCGTGTTTTCTGCGGGGGGTTCCTGACGTTTCGGACACGCGTTTGGATATTTCATTCAACCTCTAAAATACGCGTGTTAGTTTCGGTTTTTAACACGTGTTGGGAACTCAATTTTGCCGGCTGGGAAGCGTACGTTTTGGCATAGTCGTTGATTCAGTTAGATTTTTATTATTTGCAGCCAGTACAGTCTGTAGTAGTAGAGAGTGGGAAAATGAAATTAAAAACTAAAAAATATTCGTTGAAAAAACAACATTTTATAATTAATTTGAAAGCGTTTGTAATAGTAGTAGCTGCAGTATGGATAGTTTTGTATAATTTCTGAAATGTTAATTTTATCAATTGATATCCTTCACAAATAGATTTTAAAACGTGGTCTGACCAGAAGACTGTTGTTAAGAAAGCAGGAGCGGAGTACAAAAGAAGCTCAGTTCAGACTGGCGGCGGCCCACCTCCCCCACCTCTGGATGCAATGACTGAAAGCATCCTCGCAATAATTGGGCAGGAAGCTGTGGAAGGGATAGCAGGATATGTCGATACCAGCGAAGAACCCGAAGGTGAGTCATTAGAATGAATTCATGACATAAATACTGTCGCTCCCACCAAGAAGAGCGAACCCGACAAAGAAGGGAACGGGCGCAGAACCAAGCCAATAATCAGTCAGAGCTGGAACAACTCCTTACTACCTGCAATGGGGAGCCACTTCTATTCGGACCGCCCATAAAAATCACCGACAAACAGATAATCGGATGGAAAGTTCACCCTCTGGATTCACCGGCGCCATCTACCATCCACGCTGAGATTACCAGAAGCACCCTCAGATTGAGTCGAATGAGAGGACGAATCCGGAACATCTTGGGAGAAATCGAAGAAGAGGAGAACACGCGGGAAGAACTATACAAGCAACTCCGGAACCACCGTCTCAACTACGAACCAGAGAAATCCCTTAAACCGAATGCAGATCCTCGCACCAGGAAGGCAATATCACTGGAACAAGAAACGCAACAAGCACTTGATGAATTCCGACTGGAGCCCCTCATCTCACCCATAAAGGAAGAAGGAAACCGGCGATCCAAGCTGCACCAGCGACGTCGTCACCGGTGAGACCAACTAGGAGGAGACGACAACCAGCCCAACCTCATCAGAAGACCGGTGTACATAGATAGATAGATTTTATATAGATAGATAGATTTTATATATATTGTAGTTTGTTGTTATTCTCATTTTGTAAGAATTACCAGCTCAAACCGTTCATATAGCATTTTCCCGTTTGTTCATTGTTCATTTGCACGTGTGATATTTTCGTATGTTTTACATTTTTATGCAATATTGTTCAATTCGGGTTTTCAGAATTTGTGATAAGCGTTAAGCGGGAAGTTTGTGTCAAGCGTTAACCAAAGAGGGGGGTTTGGAAAAATTGTTAAAAGGGCATGTCACCTCCGAATTCCATCTGAGGGCAGATGATTTGAGAAGGGGGGTGTGTAGGCATTTCGGATATCAGACTTGTGCCTAGCTAATAAACTGGCTAGGTAATGTGTACAAATCAAAGTAACGAAATGATGTATATTTACAACTACCGCCATGGGCGCGGCCATCTTATATCTGCGGGACTAGGCAGAGATTTTAACCGAGGGAAAATTATAGAGGGCAATAGATGCTACGAATCATTTAGTTTCATATCTATAAAATTCTAACGCAATTATAAAGCAATAGCGGTTTCAATAAAATAAGATACACATCAATGCAGGAATGCGAAGGCTGACTACAGGGTCAGCCTATTTACTGTACGGTTGAGCGCACCGGGCGCATGAATATGCTGTGTACCTATAAAGTAGTACCATCAGTATAAATACGGGTCCGCTGACCACAGCAAGGCACTTCATCTGCGAAGAGGCACCGGTAACGGAGCCACTAGCTGATAAGAGCCGTCGGAGCGGCGTCCACGACAGAACTTAGCTGAGACGGTGAGTCACGACACCTGGCCCAGACGCCTCGCATGTCGAAGCAACCTCTCTTACCGGACATAGTCTAGTCATTACAGTCAGTATGAGTTCTATGCACGCTCCCGAAGTGCTGTGGGATTAATTGTATATATTCACCAGTCTACGTCTATATGTACATGCACCTGCAGGTTGATTGTGAAATAAATGTTTGGCGCTCGTCAGACACGTTAAGCGTCCATACTGTGGAGTGTTTCCTTGCTTGATCATGTCGCATATATAACGGACCACGCCGACGTACACACCGGAGCCACGACACTCTCTCTCTCTGTAGTCAACACCAGTACGTTCTTCAGCCCCTTCCCAGGGGTTGGCGGAGCATATCCAGGAAACAAATAAATACCCTGCGCGGCTACGCGCAGGGAAATGTCTGTGTGATCACCCCTAGGGTCACTACACTACTTACATTACCAATATATCTCATACTAATACAACTAATAATAGTACTAATAAACGATTATTTTTATTGTTGCATGTAATAATACTATTATCAGTATTACTAATAGTACATAGAATTACCTGAATTACCATATAGTCCATCAGCCAGGGGGGTTGGTCGGTATCAAATCGGGGGGAGAATGCTAATAGTGATTTTTGGAAAGGTCTGGACCCCTAGAGTTAGAAAATATGTGATAGCATTGTGGGGGTGGCAGCTTTATGTGAGTTATCTCCCCTTTTCCAAAATGGCTGCCAAAATGCTTATTTAGCTATATATCATGTTCTAGAGCAGCTAGCTTGGACAGTGATGTTGGTGTCTATGACCAGGTATTATGAGTCGTAGATTTCATTATTGTCTTTACCTAAAACATTGAACACACATTTGATGAAAATAAATCCAAGATGGCCGCCAAAATGCAAGATTGCTGTATGCTCGTTATAGCAGTTTAGACAGTAATGTTGTCTAATTATTTCAACTATTCAAAGATTCTTTATTTGACACCTAAATATAGTTATCTGCGCTTGAGTTAAGACTTTTGAAGGATTCAACAAGAAGAATATCACACAGAAGACTAGCAATCCGAGCTAGGAGGTTCCATGGAAAATATTTCTGCCGCGATGACAAGGAAGTTGTTGTTGGTTCCCGCTACTGTGTATCATTAAAAGGATGTTGTTTGGAAAATCAAATACTACACAGGGAGCTTAGCTTTGGAAGGCCAAAGTCTAGCAAGATTGTCACCAAGATCATAGATCAGACTTCATCATCCTTCCGAACGGCCAGCCAAAAAGGACATGATTATCCCACACCATGGCCCATAGCCTCCGTTCTGAATGTAGCTACTCATATCGCCATAGCCAAATATCCAACTAGAGGATTTGCTTGTCGGCTCGCTCAATGGAGATTCTAGTACTTAGCGTAATACATCCCACAGAACTGCTATTCTAGTTGAGTCATTTTTAGCCAGGACATCGATATATGCTTGTGACACTGTGGGCCAAGTATAAACACACCCGAGCAGGAAAAAAACAAAATTTCCTGCTTCCTATGCAGGTTGAAAGCACTTCACTGGAAAACATTGAGGTCATTGCGTACACTAACAAGTTTGGACAGGAGTGTCTTTGACAGCTTAGAAGAGAATATACTGCCTCATCTGTCTCCAGAAGTTGAGGCAATGGCTTCAACTCAGAGAGCCTGTTCTAACCAGTCTCCATCAATACCCTATTGCCTTCACAAATCTTGCATGGGGACATATATGACAGCTGGACGGAGACACTTACTGAAAAGGGTACATCACATGTAGTCAACGAATGTAGCGCGTCAGCCTAAGGTCTTATGGGACATTCATCCACCTACGACAGAACTTCCTAGCATTGATAGAACTGAAACAAAGATCAGTCTACATTAACACAGAAGATCTGGAAAGTCTTGTAAGCTAGGTGCACGTGTAGGTCCCACAGCCTCTAGCCGAACCACAATAGAGCAACCACATGCCAAGGAAGCATGCAAGGAGTCTGCCTCAAGATCGCCTGCTAACAAGAACGCTGCGTATGGATCCTAGCAGACAAACAACATCAGAGAAGTCAGACAACTGCCCAAGTTGGACTGGGTTTAATATCAAAACCCAGGGACGCAAGAATCATCTCAGAAGATGTTGTTGACTACCAATGCCCACTCGAATCGCGAGCCGCAGTCTAGCAGAGTTGACTAGTCATTGGAATTCTTAAACAGTCAGCATCTAATCAGAAAGGAACTGTGTCTGGACAGCACTTGTGGTAATCATGGATGCAAGCACTACTAATGGCAATAAGCGCGTTGAAATGCCTGGAAGCACAAAGAGCGTTGTTTTTCCCATGTTGCTCTTGAGAATGGGAAATTCCCACACTATCATGAATGCCTGAAGTAATCATAGGAAAGCGATCTGGTGATGGTGTTGAAGGACAATATGCATAAAAAGCTGGGATAGTCGCGGAGGTCCATAAATGAGGATCAATTGATGGTAAACAGGTACAATCGTACTATCAGGGGGGCACAAGGTGCATCTATGAAGCTTTTGATGAGACGGGCATGAGCAGCAGTTTCAAACTATGGGTAGACAGCAATGAGGAGAAGAGCGCTGTGATCAAAACATGCGTTGACAAAGCGTGAAAGCAGCATAGCTATGAAGGCTCAACCAACAGACTTCAGTAATCTCCTCTATCAGTCCAGAATTGTTAGAGTTGATGATCCTGTGGGAGGAGACTTCTTGAGCAGCCTCCGTCCACAACTAATGGGAGCTATCGGATACCTGGATTTTCATAGCATTAGACATAGGTAGAGCATGCTGATACTTGGCCTTTCTGCGTGCATCTCGTGAGGGAAACTTGGGATATTGCACATCACATGCCATGTCTCGATACTCGATGTCCGGATGGTGGTTTGCCTACGATAAGCCGTCAACGTATGCCAGGGTAGCCTGGCTCCATACTCTTGCTCAGATAAAACAATCTTCCAGAGACTAAATCCTGATGTATCACAGAGGCCTTTCAGGCAAGGCTCATTTTTCGGGTGCCAGATGTCCAGCAATAATCCCTTTGGTGGATACGCTATAGATCAGACAACTGATGGTGACAGTGAACAAAGCACACTAGACTCTGGAGGCACGGCACGGTTCAGCTAAATAGCAGGAGCCGATCAGAAGGTACTAACATAACCAGCAGAGTACCGCAGGCGCATTTCTTAGACACTTAAGAAACATGGTAGCATGGGAACCAATCGGAACTCAAGCCATGGCTTGATCTACAGCAGCGCGCAGATCCAAAAAGATGCAGGAACAGTTATCGGCAGTCGTTGCGGCCTACATTCAAGGCCTGGCATTGCAATACATTCCAGAAAAGCAAGACATCATAAGCATTTCTACCTGCAAAATGCGGCACCCGCATTGCCTCTGACCCTACCGATGAAGGCGTTGCCGGGATATTGGAGAGCCAGAGTTATCGGCCACTTTCAAAAACCGACGAGACGTGGAGAACGTGCCACCAGCAAAAGCCATTTCACGATCATGAAAAACTAACTAGGCTGAAAACATTCACTAATATGTGAATAAGCAAGGTAGTAAAAAACAAGTGGGAAGGGAGATCATCTTGAAAGCTTATCGAGTCTCTGTTTGGTCGCATCATAGTGATGGCTACCAAGAGCGGCAATCTCAAGATGAGAGGACATCTCTCTGCATGGCCCATGGACGCACTTACCCTGGTCTCTCTCCCCCCAGACGGCAATACTCAGGATAAACAATCAAAGGTGCCATAGGCATTATCTTGCTGCAGAAGAATGTGAAGTAGGCAACCAAGTTCCGCACTACAAATTCTCCTCTGCTGTCGATGGAATGACACCTAGTTCAAGAATAAAGGGTGATCAAGCTACGTTAGGAGAACCATTGCATCTACCATTCTGTCTAGCATTACATGTGAGGGAAGTAAAAAGTACGCAGCATAGATGTTTGTGGTTGGACACGTATCCGAAGAATTCTATCAAGAACGTGAGAGAGATCGGCACGACGGAAGAAACTGGGCACGACTGCAGGGTATCACAAGCACCACAGATCGTGCGGGCAATGGAGCAAGTTTCCCTGACAGGAGCAAATACAAAACCAGTCTATTATCTTCATTGTTCAGCAATGGAGGAAGGCCAGTGTATAGAGAGAACTAGCATGAGAAGATTCTGTATGCAAGTGAGATGGCAATGCAAGGATTAATGCAGAAGGTAGTGAAAGAGGTTCAGATCTACAGTGCCAGCAGGAAGAAGCAGATTGGGACGCCTTGCTTTTTCATGTGTCCCTGCTGCTGGAGAGGGCTACCGGAGGTTTGTAGTGATATGCTCAGATGGATACGATGTCCTTATCATGTGTTTGGCATTCCCATGACCAGATAGGAGCCCCGTTTATTCCAGAAGATGTGGAACAAGAACGCAAACTAGTTTATTTACATAGGGAAAGTCGCTTGCACTTGAGCGCATAGATGTCTGGCAGAGCTCTTATTGGGAATGGATTCATACACGATGTGATACTAGCCAGTGCTTTGCGCAAGGTAAAAGGAAGGCAAGTGCCTAAAATTATTG